CGTTTGTTAGTTGGGGAAGGGAGCTCCAAAACCGCCGTTATCTGCTTTGGGTTGGCCTCGATCCCGCGTTCGGTCACGATGTACCCCAGAAACTCCCCGGATGTTACCCCAAATGTGCACTTAGTTGGGTTTAATTTCATCCGGTATTTGTCGAGAAGGTCGAAACATTCCGCGAGGTGATGGACGTGATCTTCTGCCGTTAACGACTTTACCAGCATGTCGTCAATATACACCTCCATTGTCCGTCCCAGGAGATCGGCGAACATTCGGTTTACGAGGCGTTGATAGGTCGCTCCCGCATTTTTCAAGCCGAAAGGCATGACTTTATAGCAATATGTCCCCCTATCCGAAATGAAGGACGTTTTCTCGCGGTCAGCAACGTGCATCATGATCTGGTTATAACCTGAGAAGGCGTCCATAAATGATAACAGCTGATTCCCCGAAGTTGCTTCTACCAGGCGATCTATGTGTGGGAGCGGGAAAGAGTTCTTGGGACAGGCTTTGTTCAGGTCGGTAAAATCTACGCACGTTCTCCATTCACCGTTTTTCTTTTTGACGACAACCGGGTTCGCCAGCCACTCCGGGTATTGTACCTCCAGGATAAGGTCTGCCTTCAACAGTCGTTGTACCTCGTCTTGAACTGCTTGAGCTCGTTCGTTGCCCAGCCTGCGCCTCTTCTGGCGAACTGGTTTGAAAGTGGGATCCACGTTGAGCTTGTGACAAGCTACCTCGGGATCTACTCCGATCATATCCCTATTTGACCATGCGAACGTGGACGATCTCGTCCTTAGGAAAGCTACCAGCTCCTGTTTGATCGGGTCGTCTAGCATGGCTCCAACACCCACTGTGCGGGAGGGATCGGATTCGTCGATATTGACCTGGATAACCTTGCAGATCGGAGATTGGAGGGATGCGCGCGCCGGTTTTTGGAGAATGTCGCTGCATTCTCCGCTCTGTAATTGCTATGCGAGGTCGTCCCTTCTCTGCTTCTTTTCGATGATGCAGCAGTTCCGCGACATTTTCTGGTCGCCGTACAAGATGTAGATTCCGGTTGCCGTAGGGAACTTGACGCACAGATGATAAACGGAAGGAATGGCTCTCACGGCATAAATCCAAGGGGAGCCGAGTATCGCATTATAGATCAGTGGGGCGTCGACTACCGTGAACTTGAGCTTTTTGGCCACTCCTCCAACCTTCACTTCGATTTTGATGTCCCCCATCGCGAGACGGGTCGTACCGTCGTAACCGGTTAGCGTTCGAGCTTTCGGTTTTATTTCGGATTCTGA